ATATATATGTATAATTTATATATAATATATATTATACACCGCAGTATTCTATAAGAAAATAATTTTTATTTTAAAAGGTGTATTGTTACACTGTTTGAGGTTCCTATTGTATGGGTTCCAGGCACTAATAGCCTTTGTTTTAAGGGGTTACCTATTTCAGGAGTTGTGATTTTTTTGTTTTGTTTTGTTTGGTTTGGTGGTGGGGATTGAACTCAGGACCTTCTGTTTGTGAGGCAGGCAGCAGAACCACTGAGCTAAATCCCCAGCTAGGAGTTGTGATGTTTTAATTTCATCATGAGATTTCCATAAGCAATTATTTTTATTTCTAAGTGAGATGTGACAAGGATTTTCCTTTTTTCACAGTGAGAGCCTGAGTCTTTCCTTCACACTCAGTGGCCAGGGCATTGGAGTGTGGAATGTCGCGTTAGTTTCTTTTCTAAAGATGAGGCCTTGCTGTGTTGCCCAGGGTGGTCTTGAACTCCTGGGCTGGGATTTGGCCCAGCTTTGTGTTAACTCAGAGGTGACTTAGGGTTATCTCCTCCTCCTCTGGGACTCAGTTCCCTTGTCTGGGGAGTAAGGGTAGCGTGTTGGAGAATCACTAAGATCCCTTTCAGCTGAAAAAAACTGACCAGACCCCAGCCTGCACCTTTGCTATAGAAGTGACTTCTACATTAAGGAAGGAGGAACGGACAGGATGGCATCATAAAAGTGAGCGCTTCTGATTGCAGCACCCTCGGAGAAGAGCCAGGAGGAGACAGACAGCACCAAGGAGGAGACCGCCAAGATGGAGCAGGGACACGGCGCCCTAAAGGACTCCACCAAAGACAGCAGCTCCGCGCCCAGAGGGAAGGCAGATGCCCCGAAAGGTACAGTGACTTCTCTGGGCTGGCGATGGCACCAGGGAAGCCAAGCTTTTCCCGCACAAACTGCAGCAATCCAAAAAGCAAGACCCCCAAGTCCACTTGGAGGAGACTTAGCCCGGGTGTCTCTGTGTCACTGGCCTCGTCCTCCTGCATCTGCTCTCCAGGGTGCCGCGTGGGGCCCAGCATCCGCAGCCTTCAGCAGCCAAGCTTGTGGCTCTGATGCAGGGAAGAGAATGAGAGCCATTGCCGTACCTGCTAGTGTCTCTCATGTGTGAGGCTGAGTGAGTTCTCTGTGACAGTGCCCCTGCGCAGCTAATGCTGCTCACTGCCCAGGGCCGTAAGCTGTACGATTAACAAAGCAGATTTCCTTAATTATTTAGCTAGTGATTGCAACATGAAAAACACCTTGCAGGACTTGATAAAAATTACAAATCCAATACATATATTTTCTAAAAGATTTAGATTTAAATACATATATATCTAAATCATTTACATCCTCCTAGGATTTTACAAATTTCCAGACACTCAAAGAAAAAGACTTAGTGAGTCCACAAGTTCTAAGTTGTTAATCTTTTTCAGGTCAGAATGTGGATCTGGCTTTAAAAGTATGTGCGTGGGTGCGCGTGCACGTGTGTGCGTGTGTTACTGGGGTTTAACCCAGGGCCTTCATAAATAACTACACTCCAAGTCTTTTTTGTGTTTATTTTGAGACAAGATCTTGCTAAGTCACTGAATTGCCTAGGGTCAGCTCAGACTTGCAGCCCGCCTGCCTCAGCCTTCCAGAGTGCGAGACTGTGGACAAGCGCCACCATGCCTGGCTATAAGCCCCTTTCATTACAGTTATGTAGTTATGGTATAGAAAAATTCACATCCCTGTGTCTGCAATAGATCATCTTTTTCTGAGACTTGGTATCTATGAGAAGCCGTGAAGACACAGCTTGATCCTACTGTATTGTCCTGTCACCATAGTGTCCTCTCTGGTGTAACTGGAACCTGTGTAGGTACCATCCAGGTCTCATTCGCAGATTCATGGAAGTCTTATTCCCTGGGAACCCAGCGAATGGGCCTCGCTAATTTGTCCTCTGGAAGCACCACTGGGCTCTCTGCGATGGCTGTGTTGTGTGACCATCGGTAGCCACAAATGTGTGGACTTGGCATGTTCCCCGGGACCACGGGGCCAAACGTGCTCATGGTGCAACTCTCAACTTGTGGGGACCACTTGGTCCCCTTCCAGGTGCCCCACCCAGCTTCTGCTCACACGGGTAGGAACAGGTTCTTACCCCTCACGCCTGATGGCAGACCTTGCTTAGCAATATCTGTGCGGGAGGTAGAAAACATAAGTATAGCTATGTGTGTGATACCTTGTAACTCATAACAGCAATACAAGAACAGTCTGTCTCCTCTTCTGGTGCCACTCTCTATACTAACATCTCACAGGAAAGTTTTCCACCCTTGTGAGTGGTTCCACTCGGTGATGACAACCGGGACAGGATCATGATGACCTTTGTGTTTCCACTAGAACAGTGGCAGCCCCGTGTCTGTTCTGTCCTCTTACGCACTATCTTTCCTTCCTGACGACCACAGAAATGAAATCGGCGTGGAAAGCAATTCACCTTCAGAAAGCTCTGGTTTCTTCTCTAGAAAACACTGAGAAATGTGGTCCAGGGCTATTGTTTCAGCTACTGGGCCTTTTGAGACAAGGCCAAAGAAGAAGTCTCTTCTTGCTGTGTCAGAATCATGGTGCTTTGTCCTGTCTTTAAAGGCTCGTGTTACTGTAGCCTCCTTTTTTCTAGCGTGGGTTTCATCCACCATCACAACTGTCTTCTCCACTGGCTCAGCTGACTGAGCTCCCGAGGTCTGGGAAGGCCTCTGACTCCAGAGGAGAGAACAGTGGGACGGTTGTCACGGGCAGGGAGGGCAGTACTGCTGCTGTGTGTGCCCTTGCCGGGATCCTGGAGGTCCCCTCTGGAGGAGAGGTGGATGATGAGGGTCTGGCCTGGAACTCACAGCAGTCCTCCCGCCTCAGCCATCAGTGCTGGATGACAGGGACACACTATCACTTCTGACTATCCTTTAATTTGTTTTTCTGTTTGTTTTCTTTCTGTCTCTTTTTTTTTGGTACTGGGGATCGACCTCAGGACTTTGTGCTTGTGAAGCAGGCAGCGGCATCACTGAGCTAGATCCCCAGCCGTGGCTACCCTTTTAAAAACTGCGGTACTATCCACATAAAATCTACTATCCTGTGTTTTGGGTGCAGGGCTCGGCAACACTGCATACATCCACGTGATTGTGTTACCACCATCGCATCCATCTCCAGATTTCTCATCTTGCAAAATCAAAACTCTGTCCCATTAGTGACTTCCTGTCCCTCCCTGGCCCCTGACAGCCACGGCTCTGCTTTCCAACTTCGCGGCCTTGACTGCTCTAGGTCCCTCGTGGGAGTGGGCTCCTCTGACCTGAAGGCACACTGCCTCCTTCCCTTGGGCTGAACCATTCTCTACCGCCCCCCACCCCGACTGCCGTGTGGTGCTCACCTGGCCTCCCACAGGCCCCTGGGCTGCTGCTCCCTCATGAGCAGTACTGTTGTGCACCTTGCCTTCCAGTGTTTGGGTGCAGAAACAGGAGCAGAGTTGCTGGCTCCTATTATGGTAAAGTGGACATAAAATGCATGTGAAAGTTACCATCTTAACCTGCTACTTGTGGCTTTGGAGGAAAAACCAAGCTGCTTTCCCCAGCGGCTGAACCGCCTTAAATCCCACCAATACTCACAGAGCTCCAGTTTCTCCACCTTTGCTTCCCGCTTTCTCTTCCGTTGGGTTTAGTTTTGTATCCTAATCAGTGTGAGGTGGTGGTGAATGAGTGCTAAACTTTTGAAAGCTAACTGGGAAGACAGTGGCCTCTGCCTGAGCCAGAGGAAGAGCACCAGCCCGGTGTCACCCCAGCAGATGCTGGGGGGGCCTTGCTCAACCCTCTGCAGGCAGCCTGCAAGGTGTGATGGGGAAATGCAGTGATTGTTAGATAAGAAATATGATTACAGTAGAAGACGCCTTGCCACCAATCCCCTCCATTCCTCCCCCACTCTCTGAACGCACTTATCTGATTGCTCAAGGATTTTGAGGAGATTTGTGATAATATATATGTCTTGTACTGTAATAAATTTTAAACAGACATATATTTCAATAACACCTTGTAATGATTGTCTTTCCCTAGGGCCAGCAGGCTACAGGCCAGGTCCCCTGACCTGCTGAGGTAGAGTTCACCTACACAGACAGCACTTTATGTGGTGGTATGAACCCCTCTGAGTGGTGCGAGCAGATCGCTTTACCTCTTCCTTCCTGCCTTCCTTCCGTTTTCTTTTTTTTCCTTTCTTCCCTGAGAAAACGCTACGTAAAGAAAAACTGTGAAGTCAGTGGTCCTCTGTAGTCCACAGTTGCCTGTTTGGGCTATGAGTGACGTTGGCCAGCTTTCTGTCACAGGACAACATACCTGCGATAAGGAGTCCATGAGGGGCAGAGGTCTGTCCTGCTCACGGCCCAGGAGGGTCCAGACCCTGAACAGTGGCCCTTTGCATGTGCTGAGGCAGCACATGGTGGTGGAGCCCACGCAGGAAGCAGGGAGCGGGGCTGGCATCCCACGTCCCTCCAAGGGCAGCACCCAGTGACCAGGAGACCTTTGCTGAGCCCTGCCTCTGAAAGTTCCTTCCGTCCCCAGTTGGGCCACCCTGGAGATCAACCTTAAAGGCCCCGTACAGGATCCAGACGGTAGCAAAGTGTGTGGAGACGAAAGCTAAAGAGGATTTCCAGTCACCGGGGTCTCCATATAGCAGTGATGGGGGCCGCGGACAGTGATGCTCTGTCCACTGGTGTTATCATCATTAGGTGGCCCTGGGAATGGAATCCAGGGCCTTCACATGAGCTACGTCCACAACCCTCTTACATTTTTATTCTGGGAGAGAGTCTAAGTTGCCTGAACTAGGCTTGAACTTGTGATCCTCCTGTACTACCATACCCAACATTAGGAAGAAGGTAGAGATTTGGGGTTAAGATTAGTCCCTCTCCTTTTATTTAGAAATCCATTTTGTTTATAATACCCCTGACCACCTTAGTCTAGGACAGTTGCGCTCAACCGACAGCACGAGGGCCACAGCTGGCTGTTTATCATTGAAAGCTCTAAAAGGTTCGCCTGGTCTAGGACAAAGACATTTGGTTCTAATACAGCTTAGCAAACACCAACTGAGCTCAGTCCAGGAACCAGCATTCCTGGGAACACCGTAATCGGTCTTCTAAGGACATCCTAAGGTGTGTACCTTTGCGCTCACAGTTGCTTATTCGCAGTTTTCTCAAGGGCTGATGTCCATCCTTGTTATTAAACCCAGGGAGAAATACCTGTTGTCTCTAACCCCAAATCCGCACATCCGTGTGGGTGGAGGCAGTGTCTGGCACCCACCTGGCACTGCGCACAGGAAGCAGGACTAGAGCCGATTCCTGCCTGGAGAGTTGTCACCGTGCGGGGACAGGTGTGGCCCGGGATGGGCACATGCGTGTGGTATGGGCACGTGCGTGTGCACACGGCGGCTGACCGGTGAGCCAGGGATTTGCGGAAGAGTGGCACGGGGGGTGAGCTGAGGCCCAGCTGAGGCCGCCGGGGGACGCTTGTGCTGGGCCGTGTGCTCTGCACAGGTCTCAGGAGGCGAGCTCCCTGCCAAGCTGCCGCAAATGTGTTGTAGCTGCCCCTGCGAGCAGGAAGGACAGCGACAGCAGTGCCATTTCCGTCACTGTCACCGCACAGAGCTGGGCTGCATGCATTCACTGCAGGCTCATTCTAAAGAAAAATAAAATCCCACTGAATTCCCAGGGACGGAAATGACAGGTTCACCTTCTAACACAGCGTAAGCTATCTGAACGCTCGCTTTCTATAGAGACTCACACTAAGGAAAGTTTTAAATGTTGGCCTCTAACATGTATTTGAGTGATTCAGTAACTATTTCTAAATTTAGGGATATGCCTATCAAACTACATTTATTCCAGTTCCAGATTTTAAATTTGCCTAATTTTGCAAGTAAGTTTCTCCCTGGAGACCAAGTCAAAGTACTTTGAATCTTTATTCCATTATCTAAGTCTGGCTTTTTCCCCAGCTGGATGTTTACTCACACACTTCCAGCGTATGAGTCACTGAAAATCTTTTTTTTTTGCTTTTACCGAAAATTTTTTAAGGTGGCCCACAGGGCGAGATAAGCCCTAAACACCCACAGACTCGCCACAGGTTGTCAGTTTTATGACCAGATGGTGGGGCCGAGGTGAAAAGATGCCCTCCCAGGATTCCTTTCACCTAAACATCTCACGTTCCCAGGTCTTTACAGAAGCAGAAACTTCGCCTACTTCAGAAGTCGACTCACTCGTGAAGGTTCTTATTTGCTAAGAGGAATCCATCTACGTGTTCAGTGCAGTCTGGCAATTCTGACAGAAATGCCCCAAGACCTGACTCCAGGCTGCTCCTCAAGGCCCCAGAGGGACAGGACACAGTGCAGGTGACTATCACCGCAGGCAGGGATCACAGAGGAAAACATCCCACATGGGGCATCCGTGAACCAACCGGGAGCACAGGGCCCAGAAGACGAAGGTGAAGGGACCTGCTCAAGACACCAGGCAGAGCACACGGGGCTAGGCCTTGAACTCTTGTCCTCAGACTCCCAACCCAGTGCCATGCCAGCGTCCCCCTGCACCCCACAGGCGTGCGAAATGCCACCACTATGGGGAAACCCCGAGGTGAAGGGCTCTGTGGCCCCTGTGACATCCACCACACCAGTATCAGTCACTTGTTTCAAATGAAATGTACCAGTATCGTACAGTTTCAAATGGATCATCATCTTGACAGCATTGTAAACACTGTATCAAATTCAGTTTTCTTCACCACTCCCTCAGAACTTCTGGTGTGTGTGGTGTAGGCTATGTGCATTAGGCTAACCCGAATGATGGCTACACTTTATTTTTTCAGGGGCGGGAGGTGGTCGGGACAGCGTGGCAGGGTCAGGACAGAGCCGTGTCCAAAAAGGGACATTTCTCTTGCAGCATTGAAAGCCAGTGGAGCCGGCAGAGCAGGGCTGTGTCTGGACTCTGGCCCCTTTCCATCCATCTCAGCATATGTTTCCAGGCTTGTGCCATATTACCTCAGCCATGAGCTATTTTTTTCCAAAGGAAGCTGAAATAGATCGGAAAAAAATAGTCCAGCTTTCCAAAGTGCCCTCTCCTGGGCTTTGCGTGAGCCCTGTATAAATAAACCTTTTGCTGTGCAGCCAGAGAAGGGAGAGTGTCAACAGGAACCAGCTGCTCCTCTCTGAGTGCAGCAGAACACCGGATCCCATGCCAGCTGGTTCCAAAGCTCCAACTAACCGGTGATGTCCCTGTGTCTGTAGCGGCGGGTGGCTTCCAAACTGCCACACGGCAGAATCATCTCAGGATTGTTTTTAAAAGTCATCGCTCCTTGGTCCTCACCCCAAGCTGTCTCATTTAGTCTGGACACTGGAAATCTTTCGTGAGCATTTACTGTGTGGCTCAGCTAGGGAACCCGCCTTGCCGGCCAGGCTGTTAACAAACGGACACTGAGTCCCCTGGGTCCACGTCTGACCTGCCGCCATTCTTTCCGGCTCAGCCCTGGCTTCGTGCATCCCTCGGGCATGCCACGAGACTTCCCTGAGCCGTTTCTCCACTCGGAAAATAGATGTGATAGTACTTACTTCATGTAGTTCCACGGCAGGCGAAGGACATGCATGACACACTTGCACTTCCAGTGGTTTCTGATAAATCAGTGAATGACTTTTCAAATTGTATTACAGTAAAAGACGTGGTCATTTTGACTTGAGGGAGGAGCCAGAAGCCACACAGTGCCAGATCTGCCGAATAAGGCGGAGGAGGACCCGATGTCACATTTTTACAAACCTGCCTTTCTGTTGGATGGCGCTGGGTAGTGGCATTCACCAGATTTCTGATCATACCTCATAAACACACGAAAGAGGACCTAATTGATAAATAGCTTAGGTGCATCAGGCTTCGTTTTGGGCATGAGGGTGCATCAGAAAACAAGCTTTTTCTAAGGGAGGAAGACAACACAGACAAGCTCTGTGATCTGGGGAAACAAAGCAAATCAAGCCAGGCGCTCTGGCTTGGGCAGCGACAGTGATTTCCGTGTGGATTGCGCCACACGTGCGGATGTCCGCTGGGAACACTGCCCGCCACGCGTCAGATATCCATGAGGACCAAAGCTGTCTCCACAGAGATGACCGGACAGAATGGGGGCTGAGGATCGTGGGTCACCCTATGTCAGGTACCCCTGTCTTCACACAAGCTTCTATGGGCTTCAGAGAACGCGGACCCAGCAGTGAGGCCCCGGGCTGCATGAACCCGAGGGAAGGCATGCGGGGCGGGGCGTGGTGGCGGCAGCAGTAGGAAGTGAAAACTGGTGAACTGCAGGGCTGCGTGGGGCAGGGATCGGAGGGGCCTGGGTGTGGGCCTGGCTTTGCCACCTGCTGTCATCTCTCTGTGCCTCAGTTTCTCCCTCTGTAAGGTGCAGGTGGTGATGGGATGCGCTTTGGAGCTCAAGGCGCAGTGTCTGGTGCAAATGAACAGGTGATACAGGAGGCGGAAGGAGTGAGGTCCCTGTATATGGGCTGCAGACAGCAGGGCTGGAGCGACCCCCGACCTCCAGCCTACCACACTTGGGAAGCCAGGGCTCAGAAGGCCTTTTTGTTGCTGTTGGAAAAGAGACTACCTGGACTCATTTAAATTTTTTATTTTATTTTATTATTTATTTATAATTTTTATTTTATTGTATTTCTCTTTCGAGACACAGCCTTACTGTGTAGCTCGGGCTGGCCATGAACTCACAGCCATCCTCCTGCCTCAGCCTTCTGAGTGCCGGGGATAACCAGTGTGCTCTATCACACCTGGCTTCCCCTGTTGTTTTTGTTGTTGTTGTTGTTGTTGTTTGTTTGTTTGTTTTTGAGTCACTGTCTCTCTGTGTAGCCCAGGCTGGCCGCGAACTCCGTACCTGGTCTGTTGATTCATGAGCTTTGCACATTTGGTTGAGAGGATGGCTACTTTCTTCACTCGAGGGAGGACACGGCAACCACAGAGTCCCTGTCTGAAGAGGAGCTCTTTCCTCTCGGGCCATCAGGTTTCCGAAACAATAGATTTAGAGTCGTGACCCCAGCTCCATCCTATCCTCTCCCCGGGAAGCTGGTGAAATCCTCTCATAGCCTCCGCCCCACAGAGGTATGCAGGCCCTTAGAGAGCAGTTCTCTGGGGCAGCTGGATCAGAACCGGCTCAGAGCGCCCCCTGCCTGCCGGGCACCTCCTCCCCTTCCTCGCTGGAACCAGGCAAAGGCTTTTGAGGCGCAGAGCCGCACACAGGAACTGAAGCGTTGGTCGGAGGCGCGGCATCTTGGACAGATTGAGGCTGCCGCTTGGTTCGGAAGAACCATCCCTATCCGGAAGTGAGCCAAAGTCACGATGGCAGGACCCACCTAGGAAGCCACGTGAACCACAAGTCGTCTGCTTGACGTCACACTGTATTCACTGCGTGGGCAGGATGACCCTCAGCACCAGCCTTGCTCACCCTCACACCCAGCACACACGCGTGTGCACTGACACACTCCCCAGCCTCGGACACCACCCTCAAGGTCCATGTGGCCAAAGCATACTGTTTTGAGGCTGTGCGACTTTGAAAAGAGATGCTGACATGTTTTGTAAGTGTTTTATATGATTCTCTTTCCTTTTCAGGGAAAACAGAAGCCTACTTGGAAGCCATTAGGAAAAATATTGAATGGTTGAAGAAACATGACAAAAAAGGAAACAAAGACGGTAGGCACTCAGGGTGGAGGTCCTTGCAAGCTCCTCTGTGTGTCGGCCTTTGGCCATCTGGGACCCCCCGGGAAACAAGACCTCAGGGCCCAAGAGAACTCTGCTGCCTTCTAGGTGTGCAGGTGTCTTTTGTTACTCAAAGCAGCCTTCCAAGGCATTGCTTTTTTTATTATTTTTCACTGTGAAGAACACCAAAAAAAAAAAAGCAGAGCAAATGGCATAGGCTTCTCCATGCGTCCGACACTCCTTGGTAGTGATCAGCATCTTGCCAGTCCTGTTTGGTCTATGCCCTCCCTGCTTCCTGGGAGTTTTTTAAGCACAGGCATTGTTTGAACACCTGCCAGGTGCCCTCAGCCGCCAATAAAGCAGTCCCTCAGTTACACAGAACAAAACACATCCCCACATGTGCTTCTGGGCGCCAAGCAGAGGGCTGGAAGACACACCGACTGTGTCAGTGTGACAGTGGGTGCGGCAGAGGCACCAGGGAGGCCAGGGGACAGGATGGGCCTCTGCTAGGACGGAGACAGTAGGAGACAGGGCTGCAGGACACAGGTCTGCTGAGTGAGAAGGAACCTGGGTGGCAAGGGGTAAGGACAAAGGAGCAGCGCTTCTGGGAGCCGCAGGGTGGGGGGCAGAAGACGCTGCTCCTGCTCTGCCAGGACTGGAGCCTCGTACGTGAGGGTACAGAGGGAGTCCGTCTGGCAGGCAGCAGTGTAGTTACAGACCGAAAAAATAAGCCCCGGAAGGCAGGAGAGAGATGGGAAGGCCAGGATCTGGAGCAGACACAGTGCAGCCTCTTCCCATGCCTGCCGGGCGGCCTCTCATCCCAGAGGTGTGACAGCAGGCCTTCCGGCCGCCTCCTCCTTTCCATGGGAGGCTCAGAGATGCGCAGGGCCTGGGTCCCGGCCACACAGCGGGTTAAGAGTGGCTGCAGACCTCTGTGCTTGCTCTTCCGCCGCT